AAATTCAAGGTCTCACAACCGTAAAGTAGAACTGATCGGCTTTTCAACTTCTACGAAACGTCAAATCGTTTAAGTCTTACCCGCGCCTTGGAAATGCGGGCGGTTGTCTCCTTTGATGCGCTACCGTCGTTGGTCACGCAGCTGCCCAAGTACGAGAAGTAGTCAACTTCATCTAATTACTGACCGTCTAGTTTCAGAACGGAACTCGGCGACACCCAGTCTTGCAGCATCACTGCACTTTGAAGGTGCAAAACGCATGCTCGGTTTCCGGTAGGGGTTATCAAAACGTTTTCCATTTGTTTACTGCGAGAAATTTCCAACTCTGTTGTCTTTTCATCTTTTGAAGTTTCAAACACGTAAAATTGTAATCATATCACTGACTGCGATATTCCGTAGTAACTCCAGCCAAGGTCAAAATGAATGAATATAAACGGAATGCATTTGTTTACTATATGCTTGATCAAAAACGGCGCGCAATACAGTTCAACTTCTTGTTCACCTGTGCTGTTGTTTGGTCTGAACCCATCTACGCGGACTACGACTGGTACGATTAGATGTTGTAAAAACCGAATGCTACATTTTGCAACCTTAAAAGTCTACTACCATAGACTCCTGAAATTTGACGATACACCGCGCGACAATGTCACATACACCCCCTTCCCCTAGATTGTTGTATTATCTCCGCTCCCACAGGCACGATCATCACCATTTTTGAGAATCTAAACGGTGACTGAATGCAAAGCCGCAATAGGGAATTTCGTCTAACGCTCACTCCACTCTCAATGACCTTGATGGGACAAGGATATCAAGCAGGCCACATGTCGTTCTTAATCAAGGCGCGTTGGAAGAGGCTTACTGGTAACCAGAAATCCATGATAGATGCCTTTCGTGAGGCCAATGTCAGATATAAGATAGCCAGACGATGCAATGGATCCCGACCCACTGTGGCACGATATTCGATGCTAAGATTCTGTCATAAACGGATTGGATGACGGAAAAATCTCTCAATAAATGATAAGCGCAGAATGCTACATGAGCTCAAACTCCGTGAACTGCGTATCGGAAATGAATACGGTACTTGAGTTGAACTGTCCACACAAAAAATCACGAATTAAAGGTACCGTTGTTTGAGGAGTGCAATAATATCGCCCGAGAAACAGTTCGACATCTACCCCAGTCTTAAAGTGGCTTCAACAGGTAATGCCCATGGAGGATGCAATACGTTAGCCGCAGTGAAAAACCACACAATTATGGAATTCGGGATTTTGAATAGGGTTGGTTGAAGGGTTTCTTCGAAAACGCACAATGGTAGTTCGGGTTTCTGGGTCACTACCTGATCCCATCAGCGTAGTCCGAGGAGTTGGACAGGAATCTGTGCTTGGCCTTCAAATTTTTCTAGTTTTCATAAGCGACCTAACGGACATTCTAGGGCCCCGAATGTTTGCAGATCATGCAAAAATGTGGAAAACAATGACAAAACCTGGGGACTCACTGGCACTTCAGAGAACACTCAGTGATGCTTATCAATGGTTGATCGAAAATGACAACGACTTTAATCCATAAAAATGTACGATCTTAAGCCTTCGTCAGAAAACTCGATTTCCGTATTTTCTGGGACATCGACAGTTTCCGTACGCCTCGAATGAAACGAATCTCGGTGTCATCGTTCAAGGCGACTTAAGTGTTTCTATGAACTGCACCAGGATGTCGTCCCCAGCTGAAAGACATGGTTTGCTAAGGCGAGTATTTGGCAAATTTGAACTTATGCTGATCCCACGTTTATCATCAGCCTACATTCGATCCAGCATTGAGTATGAAATTCAAGCGTAGAATCCATGATTGCAACGTGATCTTAAGATTCTGGAACGTCCAGAAAACGGTCAAGGAACTGCATTCCAAGACTTATGTGAAAAGACTGGAGTCATTGGAGTTGTGCTCTACACAGTATCGCTGATATGGTTTTGGTATATCGAATAATGCAGAACCCTAATCATCCATGTCCTTCACCGTCCATAGTGTTGCTCAATACTCAATCAAATTAGTTGACAAGAATGCGTCATTCTTTTATCCTCAAATGTGTAATATTCGGAATTCTCTACCACCTGGCGCTGTTTCTACGACCACTATGATTCGAACATTCTACTCTCCCCTTTACTCCTTCACCCAAATGGGCAATCATAAAATAGCAACCAAAACGGGCGCACAAAATTGCATAGTTGATGGTTATAAGAACTGAACTGTGCTTCCTTGCCGGTCTACCGGACGGCTAACTGCGTACTCGATACAACTAAAAGCATTGTCTACTTCACGATGATTATTTACCTGCTTAGTAGAAGCTTCACTAGATAATTAGTGGGATTTTTCGTTACTAGCTCTTGACACCTGGTACAGATGGTATTTCATCCAGCATTCTTAAAATATTTCACACCTAAGCTGCCTATCATTCATCCCCGGCTGTTTTCTTTGCAGTCCATTTCGGTTATCAGCCTTACCAAACGCATAAAAATAGCACCACTTGGGGTTCAGCGAAAAAAATTAGCCCCACTTCTTTATGATTTATTTAAACCTTATGATTTAAAACTTTTTTATACAGTAAACTAAAAATCATTCGTTCGTGAACTGCTTCTAGATCTGTCAAAATAAAGTAAAACATGTCTTCATAGAACTGAGCAAGAACAGACACACATACATTGGGAAGTTTATAGCTCTGTAAACTCAAGTTCCCGATAGACATAATGATGCAAGATACGGGTAAAAATTGTACTTTAAATAAAATGATATTTAATAATATATTCAAGGCTCATTATGCACACATACTTGCGTACCAAGATGGTGATCAAACGCAAGATATCACTGCACTAACCTAACTTTAATAGAACACTAGTATGTGGCATTAGATCGCATTACATCACCAGCTGCGCTGCGGAAAAAATGAGAAAAAAAACTGATGTTTGTGCGTGTCTATTCCTCGCGTGGTCGGTATACGTCATCAAATTGATACGAACCAGACGGACGATCATCATTGAAAAACGGAGAATTATATCGTGGATTATTTTCATCCGGACCCGGTGCTGGCAGTGGCTGAGGAGTCGGCAAAAACTGTGAATCTGATGGTTGATTTCGATAGTATTCTCTGCGTTCCGCGTACGTCATGGGTTTTGAAACTTCGGAGACGTCAGAATTTACCGGAGTGTTCACTATCACTGGACCGGTTTGTAGGTTGGGCATATCATTTCCTTCTAAAATGTAATCTTTTATCCGGCTATCATTGAGTTCCAAAAACATGCGTTTGCAATTTCCAAGATAGGATAATTTTCCGCCCAGGTAACCGCAAACTGTGGCTAAAACATACATGGGCACTTTCAGTCGAGGTCGATTGACGAAGAAGCCAAAATTTTGTGCTACAGCAACAGCCATGCAAGATCCAATGGTGAACGGGACGCTACCGCGCCAGAAAGACATTTGTCGACATTTTCTTATGGTTGCGACATCTTCATCGGTCAATTGAACATCTTGCCCCGGGTGATTCATGTCTAGAATAAAATAAAACTGCTTGTAACATAACATCATAAAATGTGTGTAGAAAACAGAACAAAAATTTTCACTTGATATTATCTATGGATGTGATTGAACACCCCGAAACATTAGCATCAATCATCATCGCCCACAGGAATGGAAATCTTTCCGAACCGCTTAGCCTAAAG